TCAATCATAACCCCCACCCTTTCTTAAATGCCTTTTTCTTAGGAAGACTTAAGGTACTCAAGATGTCTTGCAGTTATTAAAATATAAAAGAATGGTGAAAACAATGTATTTCTAATATAAAGCTATCCCACCACCACCAAGAACAACAAATCATAATAAATTGGAAGAATGTTCATCTTTAAAAATGAGTCAGTCATACTCCATCAAATGGATGAGAGTAAAATATATCTTAAAGAGGATACTGTTGGGGTTGTGATACTGGGGGAGAGCATGCCAAAATCAAGAGAAATACACAATACCAGGCCTTGGGCAGAACCCTGATCCACCCCAATAGACACTTCTCTCCGGGATAAAAAGACCCACCACTGGTGAGCACTCTTTGGGTTTGGTCTGTCAACCAACTACAGATCCATGTAACTGTAACACTGTCTAGTCCACTCTTTACCAGCTTGTCTACCACAATATCATGAGAGACCTTGTGAAAAGCCTTACTGAAATTAAAATATAATACACCATAGCCCTCCCCTGATCTACCAAGCTTGTAACTCTATCAAAAAAAGAGATAGATTAGAATCATTGAGTTAGAAGAGACCCCAGGGACCATCCAGTGCAACCCCCTGCCACACTGGAAGACACAATCAAAGCACTCCGAATAGATAGCCATTTAACCTCTGGTTAAAAATCTCCAAAGAAGGAGATTCCACCATTCTCTGAGGGAGTGTGTTCCACTGTCAAACAGCTCTTACCATCAGAAAGCTCTTCCAAATTTTAAGATGGAATCTCTTTTCCTGTAGTTTGAATCCATTGCTCCATGTCCTAGTCACTTTGGCATGGCTTAGCTTTTGAGAAACCCATGCTGGCTCTTAGTAATCACAGTGTTCTTTCTAAGTGCACACAGACTGACTATTTAATTATTTATAGTTATTAATTATAGAACCTTTCCTGGTATTAATGTCAAGCTGACTGGTTAGTAGTTTCATGGGTCATCTTTTTTCCAATTTGCTGGAATCTCTCCTATCTGCCAAGAATTTTCAGAGATGATTGACATTGGCTCTGAGATTACATCTCCAAGTTTCTTTAGTACTCTTGAATGCAGCTCATCTGGCCCTGGAAACCTGAATTCATTTAGTGTAGCTAGGTATTCTTTTAGTACCTCTTTAGCTGTTCCAGGTTGCAGTCCTCTTACTGCATGATTTGTTGCACTTTCACCAGTTAGAGCATTTTTTTTTCCTTTTTGGGAGAAGACTGATGCAAAGAAGGTGTTAAACAATTTGGCCTTCCCTCTGTCCCATTTATCTATACCCCACACATTTAGCATTTCACCATCTTCACTATACAGTGGTCCTACCATTTCCTTGTTCTTCCTATTGCTCTGAACATAGT